CAATGTAACAGAACTATTCTATCACTTTCGTTTTTATCCCAACAACCTGATGGCATTACCTCCTACTTAAAAACAGATAAACATAGGATCTTGCATCTGGTACATAGCATAACATGATTTAAAACCTTGCCTATTACACCCACATAATATAGGTAAATCCTTGTGACTGGAGGCTAGGGCAAGAACTAGAGACAAGTAAACTTCATTGATCATCTGTCCTTTGTCAGGCATTATGCTGTGTACTCAACATAAACTAAATTAATCATTCTAAGTATCATGAATAATAGGTGTTTGTGTGCACATTTGGGATCCAATTTTCAGTCTAATATTATAAGTGTATAGGAACAGAGGATTTGAGCCAGATTTGACTTACTCCAAAATTATAATTTATGGCATCAGCATCTTCTGGTCTATTTTGAGAGTAAAGATTTAAACATCTAGAAATCAGGAAGTATGCTAGGTAGGATGTCATAACAGCTGGACATTTGTTTGAACATGGTGTATAGAAGCAATGAAACAAGCACTGGGAGCTGGGATGGCAATGCATTTGTCACTGCTGCTTGCACTTTGTGACCTCTTCATTGTCAGTGTGTCTCAAAAGTCAAGAAAGGCCTGGACTACTTCCATTATTTTTCCCAGAATATACACTTAAATATTTCTTCTCAGTCAAATTTCTACTGATTCCTCCCACAGGGGACCCTACTACTGCCATTATTCCAGCCTCCATCCCAGTTTCTAGGGCTGGATGCATGGAGCAAGCTCCTTACATTGTACACAAAGTATCCCTTTCTCATAAGGTTGGAAGTCCAGTTAGGCAGGACCCTGGCCTGGTCTGTAGCTAGTATTACTGCAAGTTTACTTTGTCAATGTGCAACCAGGGAGGGGTCTGTAAATATCTTCTGGACAACTAAAAAAGCATACTGAAATGGATTAACTATCAATCAACTGGGAACACCCACATGAACTGAATCAGCACAGTTCTGGTTGTGGATGCGCACCTGAGGAATGTTGCCAAAGACATAAAAAGAGACCTAGAGAAGATGGTGTGCTGCTGATTCTCCCAGCAAGTGGGTCCTGCTGGCTTTCCTGGTAGGAACTCAGCTGCTCCCATCAGAGGAGCTTGGGATCTCACTCTCGCTGAGGGTGGCTGTGGTTCTTTCCAGGAGAGTTTTGGTCCTTAACTTGAGCATCGGTTCCTGGTTCTGGTGCAGAGCCTTCAGCCCGTTGGTGCAGATCCTTCATCCTGCTGATGCAGAATTTCTGGCTTCCTCTGCTGACTTTTGTGCCTTCCCAGTGCAGATCCTTGATGCAAACTTGCATGAAACATTGTTGTCAGCTCTAGGCCTTTAGTTGGACAGGCAAAGGACATTGCTATGGGCTTTAGGTCTTCAGGGGACTCATACAGGACATTGCTTTGGGACTCAGGCCTTCAACTGAACTCTTTGTGTCTTTAGTGTGTAGACAGATCTCCTGAACACTTTTGCATTTGATTCTTTGGGTGAATATTATAAAATAATCCTATAAATTGTGTACCCTATATTAAATCTTTTCCCTTTTATGTCCTGACTGTGACATATACTAACCTTTTTTTTTGTAACCTCCTATGTCATTTGAAAAGTATGACCACTGAAGTCAATCTCATGGCCTCACACTGGGATTTGTGAACAACATGTTGAAAAATTTCAAAGCATTAAAAGTCAGTAGCAAAACAAAATAAAACAATTAGACAATAAGTATCTGATCATTTTTATCTATTCAATGGGAAGGAAAAACTGGGATGAGAAAAGGACAAAAGAAAGAAGAAAAAAAGATATATTTATGTATATATTTGGGATAGCTTGGATAATTGTACTGTTGATGTCTTCTGGTCTATTGAAAGGAAAAATTAATACTTAAAATTTTTTTCTTCTCCTTTTAAATTTCTTATAACTTTTTTAAAACCAATTTTGCATGCTGATACCTGGTAATCTAAACAACTAATTTGAAGATAACATTAGGCAATACAACAACCATTGTTAAATTCCTATTATTTTGTACAGTGAAATTCTGTATCATTCCTAATGTTTTTTAAACCATTTTGTATTCCCTTTGAAAATAAAAAATATCTATTTTAAAATCTCTTCCTCTAAAACTTGGTGTCACGAGGCAGTACTTTTTGCCTGTCATGTCCCTTCCCTTCACATCCTGCTCTCCTCCTCTGATTAAGATAAAAGAAGAAAATCTTGTACTATTTGGAAAGTGCTAGCTAAAATTTTCTGCCTCAGTAGTTTGTCCTTTTAACCTATTTTTCTGAAAGAGCTCAATGGTATAAGCATTACTCATTTAAGCCAAATAGATCTCAGAAATGGGAAAGGAGAGAAGAAGAAAAGGGTCATTTTATTTAAGTTTATAAAATATGTTCTTTTAAGCAAGTGTTACCTAAGAAATGTCTCTTTAAGCACCATTTGGTGAAAAACTCATTATTCGCAAGCAGCTAATGTGAAGGGATTTCTTCTTGATGGCGAATTTGGAGCAGATTTTTATATTTTTGTGTACAATGTCTTTTTAAAAAGCAAGAAGAAAAACAATAAAGGTGTTGCTGTAATTCTTTCATTTCACATCAGGTACATACAGATCATTCAAGAAGTATGATATATCCCTAGTGATGATTTCTTAGGAAATTTTAAAAATAGATTGTTTTGTAACTGTTGGTAATCTCCACACTCATTTGCAAAATGTTGCTTTCCCATCTTCAATTCTGATTCCTCTTTCAACAGCAAAAGTTGCTGCAGAAATAACCTTGTCCTACAGCTCTGGAGTTGTCAGCTCCAAGGAAGTGGAGATGTGTGGCAAGTGCATAGTCCTTTAGTTTATGTCCTAGAGCCTGAGTAGCTTCTCTGTGAAGCCATATTTCTCATCACTCAACACTCTATCAAGAAACCTGGGAAGCATCCCTGTGCAGTGTTACCAAGCATCCCCCCTCCATCTTATACATTATATGCAGTATTCAGAAAGGAAGTCATAACTTAATAAATAAAATTGACACATAAGCATGTAGGCAACAATTAAATCTTAATGATCTGAGATCTCAGTCTCCCATATTGAGTTTTACTCAATGTCACTAGCAGTCACATGAATATTCAGACACTCAGACCATCTGAGGAGCTATAAAACATTAAGCCTTTACCCCTTCCCACAGGGAAGAGCTGTTACCAGCAAACTCTGGCATTCCTCTTTTCTAGCAAATACCCAACCCAAGCTTAAACGCACATTTGGGTCTCACCCAATTCCTACATGCTGCTGCTGAGTCCTTCTGTCCCAAGATAAATTTCTCTGATTAGGTTCTTAGGGTCCTTGGAAATTCTCTTGATCTACTTCCCTTCTGGACATAAATCATAAATTTAAAAACTGATTATTGGGTCAAAAAACCTTTCAACAAAGACTCTGCTGCCACAAAAATTAATAAAGCAAAGGCTTCCTCTGAAGCCTGTCTGCCTGGTGAAAAGGCCGAGGCACAGTCTGACAATACTCAGAACCCACAGCAGCCAGGAGGGGGCATTAATTTTCCTTCATAGAGAAAAAGAACCAACACTAAAACTTCCCCAGACTACCTTTAGAAAAAAAAGTTGTCCAACTTCTAATACGTATATTTATCTATACTTTTTAGGTCATTTCCTGGTAATAGCCAGAAGTCACACTGATAACTGACTCCTTTTATAATTCTCCAACTGGCCCCAAAACTTCCCAAAGCCAATTCCAGAAAATAAGGGCCAGAGATGAGCATGAAGCCAACAGCAGAAGCATCTGGCACCCAGGACACAGGAAGTCACTTAAAATACCTGACGTGGAAAGTCTCTTAAGAGTCCTATGCTTTATTGGGTAAACTGTTGCTCTAATGTAGACTGCAATTAATCACTCCCCACAAACAAAATGAAACCAGACATCCAGTCCTGTATAAGTCATGCTCCAAATATCGTTACCTTATGCACTTGAGTAGGCTCTCCCGGCCCAGCCACACTCCCTGCTCCCTGGCTAGAATAAACTGTGTGTTTATCGGCAGAAGATAATTCTTTGCATTCTAGTTTCACAGCTCTCTCTCTCTCCCAGTGTTAGAGGCTGCAAAGTTGCATAAACAACATTATCTCTTGGCCACAATTGTTAAGAAAACATACGAGTCCTTTTCTTTTCTCTCCACTGCCCGCTCTCTGTACTGTACTGTATTGTGTCAACTTCCCAGGTTTTTCTCTAGAGTCTTTGGAAACAGGACACATGGAAAAATAGGTTTGCTAAATCCAGTGGGGTGTTGGAGTTCAGGGGATTATGGGGACTGTGGTGTTAACTGAAGGTCAAAGTCCACTGTACTTCACACCACTTCTTTAGGACACGAAGGCCAATAGTGTTCTCATTACACCAGGTTACAATCTGAGACCCCAGCAGGTTGGGTGAGGCAAAACCATGATATACTGAGCTGAGGAGGAAGCAAATGCTTGCACCTGTAAATGCTGCTCCAGAGAGAGCACCTGGAAGTGCAAAGAAAATTGGCTTTCATATTTTTACTCTCCTTGCTTTGACCATGCTCCTTGTATAAACCAAGTTTAATTTCCATCAGCTTTTTTTTTTTTTTTTTTTACAGTTTTTACAAATATTGTTTATTTTAATGAAGCTGGTACACACATGTCCATTTAAAACCCATATCCCAGGCCAGAAAGTACAAACAAAATCAAAAGGAGCAGTGTTCTATTATACATACATCTGCGTGAGTAACTTTATTAATTTTGAATGAAAATTAACTTTTCTGGGATCTTCTGACAAGATTTTTTTAAATCTTAAAACTGCTTTCTCTTCAGTGAAGCTACCCTTGGAGTTGATCAATCTCTCACCATGTCTATTATCTGGACATGAAAGCTCATGTTTCTCTTCTTTTTGGTCCAGACCCTCAGATTTTAAGCTTTAAGTTAAGGAAAGGTCATTTTTCCACAGTTCAGTTCTCTGAAAAACTTCTACCTCCCACTGAAAGTTATAGTCCAGGAGTGAAGCAATCACAAGCTTGAACTTCAGGGCCACCTGAAAAGCCACGAACTTCAGGGCCACCAGGAACAATCGCACGGGTCGACCTTATGATCACAAGCCTGAAAATGCACAGTCCTGAAATCTGCAGCCTTTCTGTGCACACATGTAATTTTTAAAATGCAGAAGACAATGTGAAGAAAACTGAGGTTTGATCACCAAAAAATCAGCACGACGAAAACAATGAATAATGAGCACTAGAATTCAAATTACTGGATGTTTTAAAGAGATGGGATGCCAGTTTTCATTTCCATTTTGAACACCACATTACAAAAGAACTATTTTTTAAAAATAAAAAAGGATTGAGGGAAAAGAAAAAGAATAAAAAGAATATCTAAATCGTTGAATGACCCCCTGTTTGTTCCTGATAAACTTCAATCACATCTTCTTCCTCCATTCCCAATTCTTTTGGAGTATGATTATCAGCAATTCTCTGACCTTCAAAGAGAAACCTGAGTGAATTCATTGGAACGCCCTGTCTTTGACAGTATGATTCTTTGAGTTTCTTGAGATGTGTTGTCATTTTCACTTTGAAGTGAATCTCACTGCTATCCTGTCCAATGACTTTGAGTTTAATGTATTCGCCTTCCTTCTTATCCCCCAAGTCCTCAGTTGATGGTTTTGCCTCCTGATCAGACATGGCGATGGTGGCTTCCCCGGGTCTCCGCACAGCAGCGGCCTCGGGGCAGCAAAAACCTCTCTCGCTCCGGCGTTTACAATCCCATCTACCTACCTCACAGCACAACACTCTCCATCAGCTTTTTTTAAACAGCAATTAGTGTGTAGAATTTTCACCATGACTAACTATGCATTATCACAACCATTGTTGAACTCCTATCATTTTGTTTAGTGAAATTCTGTATTGCTTCTAACGTTTTTAAACTATTTTTTATTCTCTTTAAAAATAAAATTTTTAAATTTAAAAAATATATAATGAAGCTCAAATATCTATGGAGCTAGAGGATGAATCTGAAAACAGTCTTGTTTCATAGGTGGTAGGTTGATGAGACTTTTTCAGTGTCTTGTGGACGAGAGCATTTGATGACATTTAAGGGTGCATCTTTAGAACCCAGCTTTCTACATTTCTATTTCCGTGTGGAGTACCAGTGTCACAAAAATATAGGAAATTGCTTGAAAGGGGAACTACAGGGATGAGGGGCTTAAAGGCTAAGTGATGAAGCTGTAGTGTGCAGGTGTGACTCTGGGGATGACACCACATTTTCTGAAGAAGCTCCTAAATGCCTCCAGTGTGAGCACTGCAGCCATATGCATGTGAGGTCTGCTGCCTCTGGCCATCAGAACTGTACCAGTCAGTGCTCCCTGGGCTAAAGCCCAAGAGCCCCCTGAGGCCACAGCCTCCATGTGAGCTGGGGCTGCCACATTTCCCTTGTCCACTGGGAAAGGAATCCTCTGCAGTCCTGTTTGTTCCCAAGGCTCAGCTCTGGCCACTGTAAGCAGGACATCACCCTACCACTGTTATGGGTATCTCCTTGTAAAAGTGGCTCACCAAATAAATGTTACTGGTTTTAGGGTTGCTCACTTCTTCTTCTGGAGCGTGATTCCAGGTTCTTCTCATCTCAAAGAACTGAACAAAAACAAGCAAAAAGTAGAGCCAATGTTTATTTGAAAAAGTAAAAAGAAGACAAACTGGCTCTGTAGAGTGATCGTGGGCCAAGTAAAAGAGGAAAACAGCAAAGTGAAAGTACACCCTGGAGGATACAGAGCAAGCGATAGTGAGGAAAGCCACGATAGCAAGCTCTTCTTGGTGCCTGTGCTCTTTTATATTGTCCATATCTCAAAGAAACCCATAAGAGCTTCCATAAATGGGACCTCAGAAGCTGTGCTGGGGTGATGTCAGGTCTAGGTCATCCTGTTCAAAACCTGTTCTAGTTCTCACAAAAAATCACAAGCAGGGATTTGGAAAATGTCCTGTTCATGTGTTCTGGGATCTATAACTGACGGGTCCCACCTCCTTCTCCAGCCTGCTTTGCTGTACCCTAAAATCTCCTGCATCACTTCACTTTGAGAGACACAAACCCCTATGATTCTTTATGGAGTGCTGAGGGGGTGGAAGTCTCTGTCTTCTATAGCTTCTTCAAACTGGAAAGAGCTGCTGACCCTACCTACTGAAGATGATGTGCTCTCCAACTGCTTTGGGATGCTGTGGGCTAAACTGGCAGAGCTGAAGAAAAAGAAAAGCTGTCAGAACACCGTGAGAAGAATCAATGGCCATTGTGTTTCACTATTAGCCAAAATATGAGGAGCAAGTTGATTTCTATATTTCCTGTAGCAATACTGGAGTCTTGTTATTTGAAGAGACATCTCAAGTCTTCCAGAGGTCCTTAAGAACAGTTCTTCTTTTGATCTTGATCTTCAGAAGTTCAAGTGGGGCTGGCTTTATTCTAGAAAGATACACCTATCTCTGCCACCTTTACTGCAGTGAGTACGGCAAAAATCACTGAGAAGGAACTCTTCCATTTTGGACTGTATTGATTTGCAGGTGTCCCCTCTCTCCAAGATTTTATGAGCACTTGGTCTCTAGGATGAGGAGTAGGTGGTCCTCCTTGACCAGGAGCTGGCAGGACTCTGTTCCCATACATTTCAAAAGCCTGTTGCAGTTGTCCCAGATTAATAAGATATTATAAGAACCCTGTCATTTCTGAATTTACTATCATCTTACATAACATCTCAAATGGGTTCAAATTTATCCCACTTTGGGGCATGTTACAAACCTTCATGAATGCTACTGACAGGAATTGGAAGGCTTGGATATCTCTTTTCAAAGTTATGTCAGATCTCACTTTAATGCCAGGTTGACTTTTTCTACCTTTTCAGAAGACTGAGGCTGCCAGAAGGAATGGAGATGGTATTCCACTTCTAAAACCCTTGCCATTCTATGAGCTATTTGGATGATAAAAGGTCCACTGTTACTCTGGAGGGACTGGTAGTCCAAATCTAGGGATGATTTCTTTAAGAAGCACTTTGACTACTTCTGTAGCCTTTTTTAAATGGGTAGAGTGAGCTTCAATTCAACTCATAAAGGTGTCAGTTAAGACCAATATCAGTTTAAATCTTCCACATGGTGGTATATGGGTAAAGTCTAATTGCCAGTCATCCCCAATGTATGGCCCTCTCTTCTTTACTGGTTCTTACAAAGGAGGTGGTTTGTGTTTGTCCAGGTTATTGTATGCACAGAGTAACCAAGCTTTGCAACCTGTAGGGTAGTTGCTACTAGTCCTATTCTTGTGGAAACTTGAGTGACCATTTCCAATGTGTCATCTCTTCCCATATGGAAAGAATCATGAAGTGTTTTATAGCTTTCCATTGGGCCTCCTGACAAAAGACTAGTTTGTTTTATAAGTACCACCAGAGTGTCCTTTTAATTCCCTCTTGTTCTGAGGCCTATTTACTTTCCTGGGACATATAGATTAGTTTTAATGGTTCCTTGGGAACTGGGAATAAGGGTAGAGGGTTAAAGGGAAGTAAGGCTGCCCTTTTTCGCTTCCCTGTCAGACTTTTGATTTTCCAAACAGACTTCGGTGCTCTTTACAATGAATGGCTGAGAATATGGACTGCCTGTAGGCAGTATGGAATTTCCAGCCTACACTTTATAGATAATTGACAAGGCAGCTCCCATCAGTGAAACACACTTCCTCAGACATTTGGAGGGGTAGGTCACTAATGTCCTGCCTGCTTGCATAGGGCTAACTTCTGAGCATCAAAGAAGCAGAGTCAACAGTAGTATACGTTTTCATAATAACTTCAGGGGTATCTAAGAGCATGGCCTGAAACTTAGCCATTCGTATGTTAACCACAAGTAACTTCTTATCTCTAGAATAGCTCTGACTTGATGGGAAATCAAGACTTCTAATCTCTGTCTCAAAGTTAACTTTGCAGTTTCATTTGCTAGTGCAGCTGCAAAGAATATCTGATCAGGTCATCTTGACCCTAACCAAAGCTATAGATCCAGAGGAGGATTTTCTAGAGGAGTAAATCAAAACAGAATGAACTAAATGAATTGACTGACCCATGATATCCAAGATTACCCAGGGTACCTTAGAGGAAATGGTGATGCTGGTGTACAGGGCCATTGCATGTTCCCCTGAATCTCTTCAGTCATCAGAGCAGGAAATGAAGGACCTTGCTTGCCTATTTCCTCTCTGGGAGTAAGGACAGTCATATTTCCAGTGCCATGAGTCAAGCACATTGGTTGCCTCACAAGTGGAGCATGACCCAGGCAGTGGCTTGGTAAAGTGATATTCCAAGTTTGTAGTCTTCTTACATTTGGAACAAGAATCTCAATTGTCCCTCTTCTGGGTCCTGATTGTTGAACACAAAAAGGCCACATTCAGCAACTGTACCATAGGTGTCTGTAATCACACCTGAATTTTTTTAGCTTATACCAAATACCTGGGGCTGACTGACAGATAAAATCATGTCATACAAGTGCATCTCCTTCCCCAGGGGAAACAAATTGTGCTCAGGAACTAGGTCTCCAGTTCCTGAGCTTTACTGCTGGATGTCTATGTCCAAATCTTATTGGAATATCCTAGTTTTTAATTCTCCTGCATGGCCCATCAAAATGTTATCAAGCAACTTCTAAATGAGGCCCACCAGATAGGTGTTACCTGGTTTTGGGTTGGTCATCCCTCTTTTTGTTGTTAGATTCTAGGTTCTTGTTGTCACAGAGATTTGAATAAAATGAGTGAAAAAGCAAAGGCAATGTTTATTTGCAAAAAGTAAAATGAAGGGTAAAGGAGGAGCTGGCTCTGCTTAGCAAGTTTGGACCAAGAAAGAGAGGAAAAAACAAGATGAAAGTATACCCTGGAGGACACAGAGCAGGCTAGGAAAGCCATGACAGCAAGCTCTTCTTGGTGTCTGTGTCCTTTTATACTGTCCAATTTGCAAGGAAACTTGTAAGAACTTCTGGAAATGGGTACTGGTAGGTACTGGAGAAGGTAGTGCTGGAATCCTATGCCTCGTTCTGACCTCAGGTCTAGGCCATCCTGTTGGAAATCTGCTCGAGTTCTTATAAGAAGTCCACGTGCAGGATTTGGGGACTGTCTTGTGCATGTGTTCTGGGATCTTGTAACTGACAGGTCATGCCTACTTCCCTAGCCAGCTTTGCCATGCCATAATCTCCTATGTCACCACCATACCACTCATTTGAGCTAACAGTCCTTATTGTGTCTACCAATTATAATCTCAATTTTTCCAAGTAGGTTAATGTCTTTAAGTAATAAGTAACAAGGCTTTCCAGAATTGCTGCAAATATAAAACTATGACATTACATGAAAACTTTAAGAAAAAATATCAGAGCAACTTGCAGACATGTTGTCTAGTAGCACAAAGAGGAGCTAGTTCTTTGGCTCCAACAAGGCAGACAGACTTTCTACTCTGCCACAGCTGTCAGTGAAGGTGAAGAATGTGCAAAGCAGCTTCCCTTAGGTATAAAAAGAAATGATGGACCAAGAAAGCTACCTGAGTACTGAATCTTTAATCTCAATGTAGCAGGTCCCTACTTTGAACAACTGCCTTTAAGAACATCCTACTTTCAAGAAGAGAGTAGAAATCCAAAGTATAATGCAATGATGGAAGGCACTGAAACACTGGAATTGCCATCCATAGTTTGCTGTACTAGTATTTTTATCA